ACGCTCGCTGCGGGTGACGCACGGGGTTGACGTCGTCGTGTCTCCAGTGTCACATGTGGGACACTTTCGGGCCGTTTACCGTTCACACTGAAGTCACAGACAAGTCGCATTTAATTGGAAATGTGAACGACCTCGCAAAAAAATCAGATTTCACAAAAAAATCGGAATTGAGCATTAAAGGTTGTATGGAGGATTTTTTTTTTTTTTTTGTTTCAAATTGTCAATGATAGATTATATAGATGCAGTCGCCTTGTAATTATGATGACCAAAAAAAAGAGAATAAAAATTCATCAACTCTGGACGTGGTGGGGCTAAACATTTGCCAATAGATAACGACACTGCCTCGTTATCTGTGAGCTGACAGGCTGTCAATCAAACTCCCTACGTTTCTAGTGTAACTGACTTGCCTGCGCCGCCGGTACGTGGTTTACGTACGACTGTCACACAGTCCACAGACGCAAGACGCACAGACGCTGTTTACTCCACCAACGCAACAGTTCTTAGCGGCTTTTTTTGACCTATATCTTCCTCGCAGTTCGCACAAAGTTTGTTGCGATGGCGACAAGAATCCAGGAGCAGTTCGCCGCGCAAAAAAGTCCGTTTTTGAGGTCGCTGAAAGAAGAAGACAAGGGGAAAAGCAGCGAAGCCAAACTAAGGTGATTCTTGAAGATTCATTCCAGCGATGGTTCTGAAGCGATGGCGCGACTGAAGCAGACGCAGGGTCCACAAAGACTGACTCCTGGGTCCACAAATTACTCCTGGACAGGAAACTTCTTAAAACGTACTTTATTTCCAAGAGCTAGACAAACGTTTTTCAGGACACGAAAGCGATATCCTGTGTCTGAAAACGTAATTTTCAAGGCCGCTTGCTGCTGCGTGTTGTTTAGTTCATTCGCACTGAATCTCCGCGCAACCTTCTCTGCACCCCTTTCCTGCTCCTCTCCCGCTGCCCGTTCCACTCTTCCCCTGCTCCTCACTTCTCCGGGCACGGAATCTCCGTGCACCTCTCTCTCTCCTCTCCTCTCTCCTCCTCTCCTCTCCCTGCTCCGCTCTTCTCCCCTGCTCCTCACTTCTCGTCCGCGAACGAAATGTCCGCACACCTCCCCGCTCCCCCGCTTCTCCTTCTTCTTAACCAACACTGTAGTTAGTTGTTTACAAGTCATGTGCAGCGGCTGTAAACAAACCTGTTTCTGGCGTAAGGAGGAGGAGGGAGGAGGTGTTTCTACGTAGGAGCTGTAGGGGAGGGGGGTGGTTTTACGCATACGCAACATTTGAAAAAGGACAAACAGTCGCTGGATTTCTCGTTCCTTGGAAAATCCTCTATACAACCTTTAAGCCTATGACTAATGTTTAAGTGTGCAGTAGAGTGCGGAACGGGACAAATTATTCCGTCCGAGCCGACAGAGGCAGTGATCGAATCTAATCTGAGCCCGATAGGAATTAAGATATTTGTGTCCAAACCCGACCGAAACAAACACAATTAAAATCACAGTATTTTCACGTAGAGTATTGTCTGTGTGGACTGTGGAAAGTCTGATTTTATATCAAACTACTGAAAAAAGCATCAACACAGACGAGCGAAGCACATGAGGGAAGCACCGCGGCTCGTCTCTGTTCAGTGACCCGCCTCTGTGTGCACCAACTGACTGATCGATTAATCGATAATCGATAATTGATCATTAAGAATTTCATCGACTAGGTTAATTTTAATCGACAAACTGAATGTATGTTGCTGTGTGTGTCGTGACCAAACAGGTGTGTACATGTGTCTCTGCATCAGAAGGAGCGAGACACAAACAGTGGGTCAGTCTGTAACGAACCGAAGCACAAATGTGGATTTAACCAGGATTTGTAGAAGAAATTCCACACTTTCCGTTGCGTTGGGACAAGTGTGAGTCCATGTGCACAGTGGATAAAGCAGCACATATGTTTCTGTGTCCAGTGGGAAAAAGTTTTTCCAGGTGAGAGTCGCTCAATGTGGATGACGAGGCCCCGCCCCCTCCCCCGTACGCTGTCCTGGTTTTGACAAACACAAATCTGGTCACACTGACCTGTATTCACCTGAGTCATGTCTTTTAATCCAACACAAGTTGAACCACATCAGCGACACAAGAGCTGGAGTTTTATCTTTGCTTAGTTTATGTAAATTAGTGATGTGGTTTTAAGTTTTGTTTCTGTGAGATTTGAACAAAACTGAATTAAACACATTATAATGTCAAACAGCTGATGTGGATCTAGAGTCGTTATGTTTATATGTCGTAAAGTTGAATTTATTTATGCAGATTAGTGCAGATAGTAATAATAATGATGATCATTTTAATATAAAAACGTTAATGATTAATCGATAATCGATCATTAATTCTTCCGACGATCGATTAAGAACATTTCATCGAATGCCCGTCCCTAAACCTGACCACACCAGCTCGTCAAACCCTGATCCCGTCAGATGTCAGAAGCTCAGAGGTCGAGTCTGGTCAGGACTTGGAGGGGAGACCAGTGGGAAAATCAGGAGCCACAGGGGGGCACCAGTCGCAAAAACTGTTGTTGTGTCCTTAGGCAAGACACTTCACCCCCATTGCCTTGTATAATGCTGAATAATGCTCTGTAAAGCGTCTTTGTGACATAAAAATGTCTGTGAAAAGTGCTGTATAAATAGGGACTTACTTACTTAGTATGAAAGTGTTGTGTGTGTGTGTGTGTGTCTGTGTGTGTGTGTGTGTGTGTGTGTGTGTGTGTGTGTGTGTGTGTGTGTGTGTGTGTGTGTGTGTGTGTGTGTGTGTGTGTGTGTGTGTGTGTGTGTGTGTATGTGTGTGTGTATGTGTGTGTGTGTGTGTGTGTGTGTGTGTGTGTGTGTGTGTGTGTGTGTGTGTATGTGTGTGTGTGTGTGTGTGTGTGTGTGTGTGTGTGTGTGTGTGTGTGTGTGTGTGTATGTGTGTGTGTGTGTGTGTGTGTGTGTGTGTGTGTGTGTGTGTGTGTGTGTGTGTTGGTCAGACGGGCCAACGATGCAGATTGTCAGTCTCACTTCTGTCAGTCACCGCTGAGTGTGGAGTGAATGAACAATGATCTGTGAAGCTCGTTGGGCGTCTTGAAAGGTGATGTATCAATGCACTGATTAATTAATTAATTAATCCTGGGCTCAGACTGTGTTAAAATCAAATCAAATCAAATCAAACTTTATTTATAAAGCACTTTTCATACAAAAATGTAACACAAAGAGCAAAGAGCTTTTTACAAAGTGAAACAATTACAAACAATACAAATTAATTTCAGTTTAAACCAGGTTAAGGACTAATTGGATTACAGTAAAAAAGGATTAAACCAGGATTTTCCTTCTAAACCAGGTCTAAACCAGGACTAAAACCAGGACTAAACCAGGTCTAAACCAGGACTAAACCAGGACTAAACCAGGTCTAAACCAGGACTATAAAACCAGGTCTAAACCAGGTCTAAAACCAGGACTATAACCAAAACCTGGAGGTCTAAACCAGGACTATAACCAGGTCTAAACCAGGACTATAAACCAGGACTAAACCAGGTCTAAACCAGGACTAAACCAGGACTAAACCAGGACTAAAACCTGGACTATAACCTGGTCTAAAACCAGGACTTAAACCAGGTCTAAACCAGGTCTAAACCAGGACTAAACCAGGACTATAACCAGGTCTAAACCAGGACTATAACCAGGTCTAAACCAGGACTATAACCAGGTCTAAACCAGGACTAAACCAGGACTAAAACTGGATTAAAACAGAACTAAATCCTGCTGTGTGGACGTGTTTCTTCTTCTTCTATCAATAATATTTTTAATTTGGTTCAGTAAAATCTGGACTTTTTATTTTCTTTTATCAGACAAAACATCTTATGTTACGATTTCCTCGTCTTTGTTTCTCTACAGCAAATCAAGTAATCCAAAGTATTCAGATTACATTACTCACTTTAAGTAATTTCATGGATTATGTTACAAACTACATTTTGGTGTGTGTAATCTGTAATCTGTAGGGGATTACATTTTAAACGTCACCTTCCCAACACTGGTACTGTGTTTTTGTTTGCACTTTTAACGAATTAAAACAAACAAAACCCGTGTTCTGTTTTTGGTTACAGATCATTAGAGTTCGGTTAAGCTAAAACAAACGTGTACAAGATTGAATAATCCGAGAGCCGTGGGCCTTGGCTCGTGTGGCTCCTGCTGCAGCTCCGACCAAACTCGCCGCAACTTTAAAAGCTCCACTTTATTTAGCCGCTGTTTACTCCAGTCCTTTTTTTAGAGGAACGACGCAGGAACGCAGGAACGCAGGAACGCAGGAACGCAGGAACGCAGGAACGCAGGAACGCTGGGCAGAAACACTTGATCTGCATCCAAAAGGCTAAAACCATCTGAGACAGAGAGAGAGGAAAGACCCGAGGAAGAGGAAGAGGAGGAGGAGGAGGAGGGAGGAGGAGGAGGAGGAGGGAGGAGGAGGAGGAGGGGAGGAGGAGGAGGAGGAGGAGGAGGGGAGGAGGAGGGGAGGAGGAGGAGGAGGAGGAGGAGGAGGAGGAGGAGGAGGAGGAGGAGGGGAGGAGGAGGGAGGAGGAGGAGGAGGGAGGAGGAGGAGGAGGAGGAGGAGGAGGAGGAGGAGGAGGAGGAGGAGGAGGAGGAGGAGGAGGAGGGAGGAGGAGGAGGAGGAGAGGAGGAGGAGGAGGAGGAGGAGGAGGGGAGGAGGAGGAGAGGAGGAGGAGGAGGAGGAGGGGAGGAAGGAGGAGGAGGAGGAGGAGGAGGAGGAGGAGGAGGAGGAGGAGGAGGAGGAGGAGGAGGAGGAGGAGGAGGAGGAGGAGGAGGGGAGGAGGGGAGGAGGAGGAGGAGGAGGAGGAGGAGGAGGAGGAGGAGGAGGAGGAGGGAGGAGGAGGAGGAGGAGGAGGAGGGGAGGAGGAGGAGGAGGAGGAGGGAGGAGGAGGGAGGAGGAGGGAGGGGAGGAGGGGAGGAGGAGGAGGAGGAGGAGGGAGGGAGGAGGAGAGAGGAGGAGGAGGAGGAGGAGGAGGAGGAGGAGGAGGAGGAGGAGGAGGAGGAGGAGGAGGAGGAGGAGGAGGAGGAGGAGGAGGAGGAGGAGGAGGAGGAGGAGGAGGAGGAGGAGGAGGAGGAGGAGGAGGAGGGGAGGAGGGGAGGAGGAGGAGGAGGAGGAGGGGAGGAGGAGGAGGAGGAGGAGGAGGAGGAGGAGGAGGAGGAGGAGGAGGAGGAGGAGGAGGAGGAGGAGGAGGAGGGAGGAGGAGGAGGAGGAGGAGGAGGAGGAGGAGGAGGAGGGAGGAGGAGGAGGAGGAGGAGGAGGAGGAGGAGGAGGAGGAGGAGGAGGAGGGGAGGAGGAGGAGGAGGAGGAGGAGGAGGAGGAGGAGGAGGAGGAGGAGGAGGAGGAGGAGGAGGAGGAGGAGGAGGAGGAGGAGGAGGAGGAGGAGGAGGAGGAGGAGGAGGAGGAGGAGGAGGAGGAGGAGGAGGAGGAGGAGGAGGAGAGGAGGAGGAGAGGAGGAGGAGGAGGAGGAGGAGGGAGGAGGAGGAGGAGGAGGAGGAGGAGGAGGAGAGGAGGAGGAGGAGGAGGAGGAGGAGAGGAGGAAGAGGAGGAGGAGGAGGAGGAGGAGGAGGAGGAGGAGGGGAGGAGGAGGAGAGGAGGAGGAGGAGAGGAGGAGGAGGAGGAGGAGGAGGAGGAGGAGGAGGAGGAGGAGGAGGAGGGAGGAGGAGGGAGGAGGAGGAGGAGGAGGAGGAGGAGGAGGAGGAGGAGGAGGAGGAGGAGGAGGAGGAGGAGGAGGAGGAGGAGGAGGAGGAGGAGGAGGAGGAGGAGGAGGAGGAGGAGGAGGAGGAGGAGGAGGAGGAGGAGGAGGAGGAGGAGGAGGAGGAGGAGGAGGAGGAGGAGGAGGAGGAGGAGGAGGAGAGGAGAGGAGGAGGAGGAGGAGGAGGAGGAGGAGGAGGAGGAGGAGGAGGGGAGGAGGAGGAGGAGGAGGAGGAGGAGGAGGAGGAGGAGGAGGAGGAGGAGGAGGAGGAGGAGGAGGAGAGGAGGAGGAGGAGGAGGAGGGAGGAGGAGAGGAGGAGGAGGAGGAGGAGGAGGAGGAGGAGGAGGGGAGGAGGAGGGGAGGAGGAGGAGGAGGAGGAGGAGGAGGAGGAGGAGGAGGAGAGGAGGAGGAGGAGGAGGAGGAGGAGGAGGAGGAGGAGAGGAGGAGGAGGAGGAGGAGGAGAGGAGGAGGAGGAGGAGGAGGAGGAGGAGGAGGGAGGAGGAGGAGGAGGAGGAGGGAGGAGGAGGAGGAGGGAGGAGGAGGAGAGGAGGAGGAGGAGGAGGAGGGGAGGAGGAGAGGAGGAGGAGGAGGAGGAGGAGGGAGGAGGAGGAGGAGGAGGAGGAGGAGGAGGAGGAGGAGGAGGAGGAGGAGGAGGAGGAGGAGGAGGAGGAGGAGGAGGAGGAGGAGGAGGAGGAGGAGGAGGAGGAGGAGGAGGGAGGGAGGAGGGAGGAGGAGGAGGAGGAGGAGGAGGAGGAGGAGGAGGAGGAGAGAGGAGGAGGAGGAGGAGGAGGAGGAGGAGGAGGAGGAGGAGGAGGAGGAGGAGGAGGAGGAGGAGGAGGAGGAGCGCGACACCACATGGTCAAGATCTGAATGCGGAAAATGCAGCTTTGACTGAAAACACGTAAAAACAGCCCGACCGGACTAAACCAGGACAAAACCAGGACTAAACCAGGACTAAACCAGGTCTAAAACCAGGACTAAACCAGGTCTAAACCAGGTCTAAACCAGGGACTAAACCAGGTCTAAACCAGGTCTAAACCAGGACTAAACCAGGTAAACCAGGACTAAACCAGGACTAAACCAGGACAAAACCAGGACTAAACCAGGTCTAAACCAGGACTAAACCAGGTCTAAACCAGGTCTAAACCAGGCTAGGACTAAAACCAGGTCTAAACCAGGACTAAACCAGGTCTAAACTAGGACTAAAACCAGAACTAAACCAGGTCTAAACCAGGTCTAAACCAGAATCAAACCAGGTCTAAACCAGGACTAAAACCAGAACTAAAACCAGGACTAAACCAGGTCTAAACCAGGACTAAAACCAGAACTAAACCAGGTCTAAACCAGGACTAAAACCAGAACTAAACCAGGACTAAACCAGGTCTAAACCAGGACTTAAACCAGAACTAAAACCAGGACGGTCAAGATCTGAATGCGGAAAATGCAGCTTTGACTGAAACACGTGAAACAGCCCGACCGCACCTAAAAATGTCCAGAGATTTCAAAAATGTCGCTCCGAGGAACCACAAAAACGACTTTACACGGAGAGGAAGTTGCATAAGTTTGTTTTCTGCAGTTTCTTCTGATTGAAAAAATAAGTAAATTAAATTTTATAATGTTCTTTTCTCGTCCAAAACTCGCCTGGAGTTGTTTTGTTTCATTCACAAATGTTTTATAATCGAGGATATTAAATTATAAGTCCAAGTTGTCCAACAAAATCAATGAGACTCTAGGGGAGTAACAGATTACATGTACCGGAGTAATGTAATCAGAGTACAAATTATGAGTAACTGTATTCAGTTACAGTTACTGTTTCAGTGAGTGGGAATTGGATTACAGTTACTTTGTTGAAATAAATGGATTAGACGGTTTAGATTTTAGATTTTACTGTTTTCACATTTTGGGCTAAATCCCTTTTTTCTTTTTTTTGTTTGTTTAGTAATTCCACTCATTGCCGGACACTAAACCAGGTCTAAACCAGGTCTAAACCAGGTCTAAACCAGGTCTAAACCAGGTCTAAACCAGGTCTAAACCAGGACTAAACCAGGTCTAAAACCAGGACTAAACCAGGTCTAAACCAGGTCTAAACCAGGACTAAACCAGGTCTAAACCAGGTCTAAACCAGGACTAAACCAGGTCTTAAACCAGGACTAAACCAGGTCTAAACCAGGACTAAACTAGGACTAAAACCAGGTCTAAACCAGGACTAAAACCAGGACTAAACTAGGACTAAAATCAGGTCTAAACCAGGACTAAACCAGGACTAAAACCAGGACTAAACCAGGACTAAAACCAGGTCTAAACCAGGACTAAACCAGGACTAAACCAGGACTAAACCAGGACTAAACCAGGACTAAAACCAGGTCTAAACCAGGACTAAACCAGGACTAAAACCAGGTCTAAACCAGGGGACTAAAACTAAACCAGGACTAAAACCAGGTCTAATCCAGGATTTAACAGGTCTAATTCATGCTGCTTGGATCGTGTCTCTTCTTCTTCTATCAATAATATTTTTAATTTGGTTCAGTAAAGTCTGGACTTTTTATTTTCTTTTAGCAGAAAAAACATCTTATATGAAGATTTCCTCGTCTTTGTTTCTCTACAGCAAACCAAGTAATCCAAAGTATTCAGATTACATTACTCACTCTAAGTAATTTAATAGATTATGTTACAAACTACATTTTGGAGTATGTAATCTGTAATCTGTAGGGGATTACATTTTAAAAGTCACCTTCCCAACACTGGGCACACAAGCTTTTGAACGACACACGATGCATTTCTGTGGATTTAATTCTTTTTCTTTTCTCTTTCACACATGCTTTCGGTCGCCTTTGGATAAATATTTCACATTTTTAACTAACAATAATCTCTGCTTTATGAAAAATGTACAAAATGGCGCAGGACAAGACCGAAGTTTAACTGTGACGCAACAAAACTGGGCAAACGCGAACGGAGCATTTTTGAGAGTTTAGAGAAGACGAGTTAAATTAAAAAATAAGTGTGAATGAAGAAAAACCCAACTCCAGCTCTGTGTTTGATGAGGGGAAACAGGATAATGTGACGGTTTTATGTTATAATGTTCCCTCGTTAAAAACACACCTGGAGTTGTGTTTTGTTTCATTCACACGAGTTTAACTCCACCGATGGGAATAAAGGTGATGAAATAAAAGCTGTTACTAACGCTGTTACTTTTCTCAGTAACGGGGAATCTCCCAAATTACCTTTTCTATCGTTATAACTCTGTTCCTGATACCAACACTGTTACTGCACGATACTGAAGCTGCTCATTTGGCCGTCAACGATAGGATAAAAACAGTAAAGTCGTTCTAAAACACAAACAGTGAATCTGCTCTGACCTTCCATAAGGACTGTGGACAGAGACAAAAGCATCTTTCCTCACTCCTCTGTGCTGTTTTTATGTCTATAAACTCATGGAGGCTCGTGTATCGCAGCTGGACTCACATGTGCTTCACTACAGCACCGCGTGATGACGTCATCGGGCCCTTAAAAAAAAAAAAAAAAAGCAACTTTTATAGTGGAGTAACTGAGTTAGTAACTGAGTAACTAGTAACTATTAGTAGTGTAAGAAAAATCGGTTCGATTCACAATATTGGCGCGTGGTAATGGATCGTCTGTCTGTATGTTTGATGTGCACATCTCTCCAGGCCCGTTGCTCTGCCTATTTGGAATAAGAACTCGAGATTTGTCATCCCAAAAATTGGACCACATATTATCACTGGGTTTTTTATCAGCAAAACATATTATTATGATGAACTGGAAGGAACACAAACATAAATGCTTTGACACAGACATTTGGTACAAAGACTTTTTGGATTTAATTTCTGTGGAGCAGCTGCTCAACTGTTGGACACAAAAGACAAACACACTGTCGACCTGTGGACTGTGCACAGGCAAATAAGAACAACATCCTGTTGGACAAAATATATGTGTATGTAAATACTTGTATAATGTAACAGATTTGAAAACAAACGAATGAAAGATATGGGAAGAGAATAGAAAATATATAAATGTAAATTTGATTGACAGCCTTAAAAATGTAAATACACACATGCAGATATTATTATTATTGTTTATATATATATATATATATATATATATATATATATATATATATATATATATATATATTATTTATATATATATATATATATATATATATGTATGGGTGTTTAGTTAAGTCTGTCTTGTTGTGGATGTGCTGGGTATCCAATCCCTCAAACTTGACAAATTATTAAAAAATTTAAAAAAATCGATTCAGTGATAATTTTTATTTATTTGTATTTAATGAGGCAGGGACAGCGCAGAGTTTTTACATGAACCTCAACAGGACAGATGTTTGTACATCAGGTTGTAGCACTAGTGTGTTAGTTTCCACCTGTCGTCTCTGGGCAGGTTCATTGATTGTTTGGATTTAACTGTTCCTCCTGGAGCATGTTTTGGGTTGATATCCTGATACTTTATTGCACAATTCTCGAATCGATTCAAAATGCATCATGAAGTGATTTTTAAAATAATATTTTTCACAAAAATTCATCTGTCGCATTCACTGTTCTCATGATTTTAAAAAGATAATTTATATTTCATACAGTTTGGTTCTCATGAAGATGTAGTTAACAATATTATTGAAAGTAATTATTGACAAACTGTAATATATCATTCACTGTTTTAGTATTGGGATATATTGAATCGTGACATACAAATCATGATATGGGTTCGGTCAAGTGTTAACGGAGGGAAACAGGGGCAGATTTTTGACATTCAAATGTCTCTTATTCAGAAACTAGAGGAACTATTGAAATAAGTAAAGTATCAGAATGTAGGAAAGAGTTACACTCCAACAGGGTCAAGTTAAACCTGTGAGATTCTTTCAAGTTGTTGACAAAAAATTAAAAAACTCATGTCGGTAACGGAGGGAATGAAATATGCAGCACTTTTTGGGCAATAAATCCAAACAGTGATAACTCTTGGTTCTCACTTACATATCCTTAACAAACTGGTTTGAATATTTGCTTCATATAGTTTTCTACCATATGGTACAAGATTAGGTTGAAAAACCTCTGACTTTTTGACTCATGAGATTTTTTATTAAGAAAGTTCATGGTAACGGAGGGAAAAGTAACGGAGGGAAAATTGTACAAACAAGTAGAAGGTGCAGGATTTTACATCATTTGTCGCTTTTTTCTTCTAAATACTTTAATATTACTTCAAAATGAAAGGAAACTATTTCTATAAAATATGTCAGTCCTTCCAAGAACATTTTTATCATTTTAAATACTTTTTTTAAAAAAAATCATGCACCTTCATCAACAAGATATGATGAAATACATCCATTTATTTACATGATTTTCAGGTCTTTGAAATTTGGGAAATAATTTTTGTTCCATGTTTCATACATGGTCTGTTTAAAACATATGGAACTTTAGAACCAAAAATGGTACAGAAAAAAGGTCAACAGTTTCATAAACTAGAGTACATATGTATCTGTTCAATACATTTTTATATCAGATGAATTAACTTGTTGTTTACTTCTGTTTGACTGGGCTCAGGTTTATCGTATCGTCAGACTGAAGACAACACACATCCCTCATAACTATCATTTATTACTTTTTCAACGTGCCCAACATTGTTTAACTCACAAATCCTGCATATTTAGACTTTCGAGTCTCAAACAGAAAACACTTGCACCATGTGATGTCATGTGGTAATACAGGAAGTGCTCCGTTGTGCTTTCAAACAAACACCTT